ATCAAATACAGAGCATTTAGAAACAGATTAGAGGATATTGTCCCTCATATTAAATTTATATTGAATTATCATATACTAGTAATCTAAAAAATAGTTATTTATTATACAAGGGAAAAAAGTAGTAGATTTTAGCTCCAGGTTGTGTTGTCTCCCGACGCGTAGCGGAGGGAGACAAAAAACCGTGAGCTAAAATCTAATATTTTTCCCGTGTATAATACACTATTTTTTTCTGTGACAGAAGGAAGGACGAATCAATATTGAGAAGATATTACATTATTTCGAAATCTGAAAATTATCGACGTGAAATTTCAAGTTTTTAACAGTAGGGACACCTGCGTTTTATAGGCATCTTCATCATTCTTTTGAAGTAATCAAATATCTGATGTCACTTCTGTCAGTTCAATTCTGTGATTTGATTTTGAAAATTTGCGAATTCAGTAGTTGTTTAGTAATATACGAACCCGCGAAGTCGAATGGAAGATAAAAGGACTTGCAGTTTTTTCTCGGAGACGGTATTATTGACTCATTTTTCGGAACTATAGCACAACGAAAGCCATTAACAGAGTATATATATGTGATATATATCCGGGAAAGAAGTACTCACTTTTTTCCCACGGGAAAAAAGTAATTTATGAAAAGTGACATTTTATAACCTGCCAACAGAGATGAAATGCCAAACTTTTTTCCCGTCACAGAAAAAAAACCATTTTCAGCGACTTTCTTTATGCGTTCATGCCCCCGTAAGCTGCCATGTGATAATTTTTGATAAATGGTTTCAATGAATGTTTCTTAACCTATCTATCTATCATAATCTTACAAACATGGCACAATAATTTGTACTTCAACTCCATATGGAACAAAATAGTATATTGTTTAACGAGTACGGAATGATCGTGATTTCCAAATTAGCGTTCCGTCCGAGTTATACACTATAACTTTTCTACGGCTGTAACAGATAACGGCGAAATTATTGATTTCTTCGTCTTGTAGCCATCTGATTCCCTCTCGAGTAATGCTCATCTATTAGACAGAGCTGTCATCGATTGACATTTGACATTCCGTGGGCGACGAGAATATTTTGAAATAATATTATAATGGAGTCATTGTGATTTCAGATACGGAAATAAAATTGATGTATCGAACACAGTTAAAGAAGAGCAATTTAGTGTTGTGCGTAGCTGTAGGAAAATTATAGTCTTTAATTATACGCCCTCATCTCTGAATATAAATCAGTTTTTTTTTTCAGAAAATCAGAGATGACAATATCCATCCAGCGAGAGAAAGGAACATATATTACCTGTCCTCAATTTCTTCGATAGGTTCATATTCATCATTGACAAATATGTACGAATATTCTGGAGAAGTGGGAAACTTTTCTTTTTTATTGTTCATAAACATCAATTATTGACTGAACTATTCTTGTGATATGTTTCGTTGTTCTTTGAGAAGTTCAAGTTGATAATTAACTTGCCCTTAAACGAATTGGAAAATGGAGAGGATTACCATCCACAAAAATGGTTCAGTGTGTGACCATTATCACCTCCCTTCTATCCAGCAGTACTTATCAGGTATGTGCATACACTACTCATAAATTCAACTGCTCCTCTGAAAAATGAAACTTCAGAAATATTACACTATATTAGTTGATGAATTTTCGACTTATATATGTATACAGAGAGACGTTACAGATTAGTATGTCGTCACGTGATGAGTTCACATGAAATATTTCCCTAACAAACAAAATCCTTTCTGGATGCATTTGGTTTGTTCATATAAAATTAATTGTTTTGTAATACGAGACATTTATATTCGTAGACAAATACTTTCAGTGTAAATAATAACACTTTTTGAGATTGAGATATCCTTAGAATAATTCAATTATTTTATGCAATGAATAGAATATATTCAACTTGAATGTATTGTATACTTACAATTTGTGCCAAGTGTATAAAAATATGTTCTACATTCAACTTTTCTTGAAAATATTGATTCCTTGTTTCTATACACAGTAATTTCTGACTTATAAATGAATTTTCTTGGTGAAACAAATATATTTGTTTGGACCAAAAATGTCGAATTAATTGAATAAAAAATATTATCTGTGAGAATGAAGAAAAGTCAACTCAACAAGGATGAGGTGACTATGGTGAGTACACAGTACCACACTGGCGATACTACATCATACTCTTCAGCAATTCGCGTGTCATTTCAAGAAGTAGTAATAGTACATCTAATAAATTGATTCCACACTCATAACCATTTCCATACCTGAGTGTATACTATACAATATATCCGTCCAAGCGATCTCAATCAAATGAGATGAAAGAAATGCCATGGGGTAAATCCCACTGACCTATGACGAGTAATTATTAAGGCTTTTTGAGCCAGCTCAACACTATTTTTCATATTAAGCTCAGCATACTACTTATTTAAGAGCAATATTTTGTGACGTATTATTTTTGTTCAAAGCTCGTTCGTGAAATGTTGTTGAAATCGACAATTTTTTTCACGAGGTGCACTGAAGTAGCATTTTGCGCACTAGAAAAAATAACTATTTCGACCAACAAGCGAACATTGAGATTGGTTAACATTGGTTGCAGTATCTATATATCCTTTTATTAATATGTTTCAGATGATTCCTTTTCACATCAAAATTAGAAAATTTGTGATTATAATGGTGAATTATTTATATTGAATCAAGATTATGATGAATGTTTGATACAAGAAACAAGAATCAATATACTTTCACAACAACATTATGACACATTCATATTGAACAATTTTCGACTGATTTATATTGAATGAAGATTACGGTGATACAAGAACCCTTTTTTTTTGAGAATATTTTTTTCAGAATCACAAAGCGTACACTCATTGAGAGTAATATATAGTGAAAACTTATATTGTCTAGAAATAATAAATCTTATTCATGAGAGAGGTAACGACTTGAAATTATCGGGGAAATACGATTTTGACCCTCCATGTGAAACAATATAATAAATATGCCAACTATTACTATGTAATCCTCAATGCACTTTACGTAATTTTATCAATAATAATTGGTTGAAAATGCAAGTGCAATGCGAATCGACATAAACATTGCATAATATCATAAAAGAGAGACCTATATAGTGAAAGTTGATACAGAACAAATCATTGTACCTATACAGGGTGGGGCATTAGTGCGTCGGAGCTCGATTGCTTGAGTTCTATGATAGCTAGAAACCTGATTCAAAAACGAATGTGAATGAGATAACAAGGTTCATAACTAGAAATTATTGCCGCATACACAGGGCGCACCGAAAATAATCTAGAGGGTCGGGATCAATTATTTTAATCGGAATGCCCAGTATATTTGCATATTTTTTAAGCATCCCTGTGATCTTCATCCACTCCTATAATATCGTTGCCTATATCTCTTTCGTATCAATGTTATGAATTTTTTTGACCGAAATAATGTCATCTGCAGATGCCTACCGAAAATATCACTGTTGTCACAATTATGAACTCAAGGAAAAAATAATCTCAATATCATTTATTGAAAAGATGAGTGACATTTCTGAAAATGTTTCAGGGTCTCAAATGATACAGGGTGGCTGAAAATGATTTTTCAATTCGGAACTTCTCGAAGTGATTTTTCTCGAGTTTTTCAAATGGACCCCATATAATATTTGACCATTTGATGTAGAATCGAAACACGAATATATTTATTCGAACATTCATATCGATATTCGTAACCATTTTTGAATTTTTGAACTTTGATAATACTGCAACAAACAAAGTCAAACTTTTATATTCCATCACCAACCACTTATATTATTAGCGATTTTATCATATCTTTCGCACTGTTGCGGGAAAATGACACTTCCCAAACTAAATCGTGTGCGGGTATAGGGTAAATCACGCACACTTGTAGAAAAAAAAAATTCTACTAGACCAGCCGTTGCCTCACTGTACTGTACAGAGCATTGAAAGTCACCTGAAAAATGATCGATATGGATGCATGTGCAACAAAATCAAATATGTTCTACTCAGATGGCGTCACTTTCATATTGTAGATGAAAGACGCCTCGGGGGAATATAATGCCGACTTGATTTTTGTTTGGCTAGGCTTCGCTGAGTCGGCGGTGTTAGGACTGCTGTCTGGAGACTACACTGCACTGATGAGAGCCAAAGAGCTCGAAACCGGTCTGTGGTTGTCTATAGCGTGGCCTGGCTAAATCGAAATCAATAGGCATTCAGGAAAGAATCACTTGTATCAGTATTCGTTTATACGAGTCGATGCATAGATTTTGGGAGGATGTAATCCAATGTTCTGCGTGGAATTTGCCAGGAAAGTAGTTGTTTTTCTCCCGAAATCTAAATCTACCATTGTTGTTCATTTTATGAACATTGTGTGGAAGTGACTGAGCTTTTTGTATTTATTTAACATTCCATTCCACTTTGAGCATTGTGGCTATTTCGTACCATCAGCTGTTGCCTGACTGTTGTACAGAGCATTGAAAGTCACCTGAAAAAGAATCGATATGGATGCATGTGCAACAAAATCAAATATATTTCCAACCATCAGCTGGTAACTGGGTGAATCGTTAAATTCAATGATTGGTTCTTCACACGAACAATGTTCGATTTTTAAGGTGTCATATTAATTATTTCTAGTCAATTAGGAACAAAAAAACTGAGTCTAACACACTTATGGATTGGTGAACTTTGGTGACCAAAGTCTTCAGGTTCACACATTCAAACTGAAAATTCAAATCTAATGAACATAACTTGCAATATATTAAGGTACAATGTTCATTGTACCAGTATATCACCTGACGAAGCTACTGTGTGTTAGCGAGACATGTCGTGTGTTTGAGAATTTGGTGGAAATCTTATCGTTTCTGAAGTTTTTACACTTGCCATGGATTTCCATCGAGTAACGGCCGAGTCAATTGAAAAAAAAAGAAATAATAATAATAGAAAAAAATTAAAATCATATAATTTGTATATTTCAGCGACGAACACCTATGGCATCGCTTTGGTTACAGCTGGTACGTTCGCAGTTCTGTTGGTATTGGCTATGTTTCTGGACACGCTGCGTTTCATCTTGACACATTCATCTTCAGGAGTTAAAGCGCACTCTGTATTTGTAACTGGCGTATATCCGGTGAGTTGAGGTTTTGTCACGTGAAGGGTGAAGGGAAAGAACAAGGAATGTCAGATTCTTCCAAAATTGGTGACACGCATTGCTTTCCTTTGACAGATTTAGTCTCGATATTTTCTACCCATGGGTCTATTGAGAACTTGTACATAGTCTATTCGTAATGGTAAAATTGGAAATGTCCGCCCGGAAATTTTAAAGAAGTATGACTATGTCAATAGCTATATAATATACAACTCGAATTCTTTGCTTTTTAAATCAATCTTTGTCATCTATTTTTGAGTTACGTCCGCATCGGATGCAAACAAGAGTTGTTTGTCTTCGAAATCAACTTGATTCATCAATATATTAATACGTGTTGTCTCACGTCATGTTTTCTGAATTTTTATTCTGGATTCCTTTCCAGTTGTAGCAAAAATATCAAGAACTTGATAATTTAGAAGAGGTTTTGTATACCTGAAGCACATATTTACTTCACAGACATACCTCATCAATATTGCTTTGAGTAACTCGTTATTCCCTTCAGAATATCTGTGACATTTATTGTTTTTTGCCATACTAATAAGGTCTTGTAATAATTCACTATTTATATCTGCATAACGAATAGAGTATAGTTAGTTTCAATACTCTTAGAATATAGTTATGATTATTTTCTTCGCATGATTTTGAACCAATCATCAGAATAACGTTAAAAGGAGTTAAGTTACCTTGAATAATTTCGAATATACGTAGATATACATAGAATGGCTTTACCAATCATATATTCAGAATTATATCCATTTTCATATCAACGAATTTATATTGTTACATACCAACAAACCGCTTCGTCAAATATTGACGTTTGTTCAGACTACTCAAAGAATAATCGCATCGAATACAATTCGAACTTCAAAATCTTCAAGTTGATACATCTCAAACTTACTGCACAATAATTACAAATCGTGCCAGTCTTACAGTTTTTTATGTGAATAATGCGAGTGTTTGCGTTGTTCGAAATTGTCGAATAAATGGTGACGTCAGCTTCAATGCTGTTTCTTTATTGGTCAGATAATCGTCCATTTCCACTCATGAAGCAAGGTTGTCAAGTCACCAATTATAATCAAGTTATCAAAAGTATGTTCGAGTCCTGTCGTTGAATAAAACATAATGGGAAGCAATCAGCATGTCTGAATATTTCTCATTCTCCATAACAACATATCATGTGAATTCAATAATGAAAAATATCGCTCAAGCTATTGTGGTGGAGGCAACTACTACTAATAATTTTCTTCACCCTTAACCCTATCTCTCTTCTTTTTTTTCACTTTTTACATTCACAAACGAAGGCCCTACTACCTCAACATGTCGGTAGCTACACCCTTAGATCATTGAATCCCCTAGATCATTAGGCACTTTCGACAACAGTACCTATACTTATCATACAGATATGGGCGATATCAATGTTTCACACATAGATGAAATCATATTTTAGCAATTCACACACACGCGGTGTATCCTATAAGTACGTGATTCAATGTAATATTCAGCCATATTCAACCCAATTCAACCTTGCTTGAAAAATTCTTCCTTTTGTTGTATATTGAACATGAAGCCTTCAGTTCCTTCATGGAAATTCACCTTCTTATCATGAACATCATTCTCATAAAGTATTCTCTAAAGAATCACCTCCTGAATGTTCGGCACGTACGCAAGAAACACGCGGCAGAGCAGAACCTCAATGGTGATGAATTTATTATAGCAATGTTATAATATATGTATTGTTCGGAAAAGTGAGTCATTCCATGTAGAAATACCCACACAGAAATTGCCACGTAATATAAGTTGAGAGGAAGAGTTGACGATTAAGCAGGTAGGTAGACAAGTTCATTGAATCAATCAATAAATCAATCAATCAAAAGTGCACTTTATTGTCGACGGTGAAGATCTTATTGACAAATTATTGTATAGTAACAAACATGGTTCATAGTAACACGAAACAAAAAATAAAATAAAACAAAATAGCATATTCGATAATCAATATTTTGTCATCAAAACAAAAAAAAAAACGATTGAAGTCGCACCACTGATTAATTTCTGTTATACCCGAAGCAATTGTTTCCTTCAGATGTTTTATATCTCTACCACGCCATATAGGTGATAGTTGTGTCATCAGCGAAAATGGTAAATCAACCCTGAATACGAATTGAGGCTGACTCGTGCATACATAGGAGAAATATAATAGGGCCTATGACTGATCCCTGCGGTACTACCATGGTGACAAAGTTTATCTGACGGTATTTCATGACTCACGCAATCGTATGCCTTCGAAAAGTCACAGAATACTGCTGTAGTCATGAAAGTGTTGTGAAGTAACGAGAAAAACGTGTCATTTGTATTCTTACCTGCTCGAAATTCAGATTGAGAATTACTTAAAATATCATGTTTCATTAGAGTTTCATCATTCTACGTTCAACAATTTTCTCAATAATCTTCGATAAAGTTAACAAAAGTGAAATCGTTCGATAATTTGAGGGTTCATCTGTATCACCTCCATAAGACAATGGGATACTGGTACTGGTACTGATGAGTGACGTTTGCACGTCAGCAACTAGTCCCTAATGGGACCATTTTCCAAGCCCCAAGGTGTTTTTTAATGAGTGATGTGGTTTGCTTGAGAGAGCTGGCTAACACCCTTTTCAGGTACCGTCCATCAGCTCTCTTTCAGAGTTTTTAGGCTGTCTTTTGTAGGCTAGTAATGTACTAACTACCATATTCTGCAGTGGCAGGCCTGCCAACTACCTAGTTAACCCCCGTTAGAGACCGAGGTCTACTGAGCACGCTCAGCTGGTTTCACACCCACATACATACACCGTCCTACTTCTTCTCTGATGCCCACAACCACATCATCATCTCTTTCTGCGTGTTCTGTGTAGGCTTCGTTGATAACTTCATGCGCCACTTCAGGAGCAGCAGTGTTAATTGGAACGCAACAGCGAATCGTGCAGGACTATCCCCAGCCGATGCTCCGAAACTTTACAATATTTAATTCGCAAATAATCCCAGCTTATACAATGGGATAACAACAGCTTGTTTCAAGAAAAGTGGAAATATTCCCAGTTTGGAGGATTTGTTAATCGCTTCGACAAGAATGAAAGGAACATAGTCAGGTAGATTTTGAAATATTTTTATACATAAACCATCCATGCCTGATGACTTTTTGTTTTTCATTCCATTGATAACATCTCTTACTCTGAATATGTCAGTATCTTGAAGGTGAAAATATTCTGCAATACTAACATACTTTAGATAGTCTGTAGCATCTAAATGTGAATTTAGGTTGGATATAAGTTCATCATCGAGTTCATCACCTATCGAACAATAGAATTCATTCAATACATCAGGATCGCTATGAATATTTGATAGTTTTGAATCTTGTTTGCCACGTAGTTCATTAATCATATCTAAATGTTCTCTCGTTTTTCTTTGAGAAGTTTCAATTCTATTTTTATAATGTAGCTCTTTTGCAGTCTTCAGAAGCGGAGATCAGAAGATTATACTGTATTCGATTGAACTTGTTCATTTAGTGAAGTTTGGTTTTTTGATCCAACAATTGATTTCTGACATTTCTTTTGAGTAAAGTGAAGGATCATCTTGGAATTTTTGTATAATCAGTTATTGTTGGAAGTTGAGGATATAGTTAGCAAAATAAAGATCAGTACCCTACTACATTGACCAAAGCTCGGTACTACAGGCACGTTATTATCTTAAATAAATATAAAAAGCTCGAAGTCATTTCCACACAATGTTCAGCAGTCTTAAGATCTGTTATAGTTGTATGAATATTGTGTGGAAATGACTTTGATCTTTTTGTATTTATTTAATGTTTCATTCCACTTCGAGCATTGTGGCTATTTCGTAGTTGAAATTACGCCAGTCGGGCAAATAGGCACTCCCGTATGGGAATTTTGGTTTCGGAGTGTTTCTTTCATTCTTTTCTACTCTAATGGCGTTGCTCTCATATTGCCTCTGAGGGAATATACTGCCGACTTGATTTTTGATTGGCTAGGCTACGCTTAGCTGGGGGTCTTAAGACTGCTGGCTGGAGACTGCCCTGCACTGATGAGAGTCAAAGAGCTCGAAATCGGTTTGTAGGTATCTAGCGTGGCCTGGCTAAATCGAAATCAATAGACATTCTTTTTTTCATGTTCTGGTTCCCACGAAAAGGGATATACTGTAATGTTCAGAGAAAATGGAAAATGAGCTAGGAATTGGTGTTCTTCTTAAATTTCTGGAGGTTATATGCCTCGTGGAACATTTCCCTTGCCAATGTGTTCCAGAGCCTCGCTGTTCGTTGGATGGACGAGTCTTTGGACAGAGATGTTCTGCAAGTCTCCAAAGTGACCACGAAGGGGTGCGAAGCCTAAACTCGATGGGTTAATCTCGCTGGGACTGCCAAGGGATGGATAATTGTTGATATTTCAGAAGACTATCGTCCATGAAAATATCTATGAAATAGAGCCAGATCGCCAACTTTTCTACGGTGTTCCAGAGAAGTGAGCGAGTTTGTGAGCGAGGCATCACCCACGAGACGAATTGCCCTTTTTTGGACAGAATCCAACGGTTTCAGGGTATGTTTGAGTGCTGCACTCCAAATATGGAAACCGTATTCCAGGACAGGTCGGATCTGTGCCTCATAGATCGTGAGCAGCTGACTGGAAGTGAAATAGCTCCTAGCCCGTAACAGGAAACCGAGTTTTTGAAATGCACTTTCAGCAATAGATCTCACGTGATTTTTTTTAGGAATGTTATTGCTGATACTAATCCCAAGCATCGAAATGGATTTCTTCAAAGGTATGGTTACTCCTGACAAGCTTATGTTGGGCACAGTGAGATCGGCTTTTCTAGAGAAAAGGCATGCTTGTGTTTTGTTTGCATTGAAATCTACCAAGTTATTGGATCCCCATTCGAGAATTGTTGTCAAGTCCATATTTATGTTGTCAACATTTCTCCTTCATTCGTTTATGATT